CACACACACACACACACACACACACACACACACGGGCTTAAAAATGAGGTCAAAAGGGAAATGATTAGACCAGAGAAAAAACGATGTGAAAATCAAGCCAGTGTTTTGTGTTTATGGAGCAGTTCCTAGTGCCTGACACTGTTGTAAGGATCTTATGTGCATCCACTCATTTAATCCCACAGCACCCCTACAAGGCAGACCCTGTTGTTGTCCCACTTTACAGCTAAGCCACTTGAGGTGCAGCAGAGTTCAGGAACAATGTGGGTCAGCAGAAGACGCTCGGGGTGGAATGCTGCCGTCTGGCTCCAGAGCCCCACTTGTATGCTGTAGGCTCCTCTCTCAAGCTTTTCCCCTTCTGTTCACCAAGTGCAGAGAGAATGGATATCTCCTTTAACTGGATTCATTGGATTCATTCTAATTCTTTCCCTACAGTGCTTATTAAAAAGCTTAAAGTCACTAGCTTCCCCCTCCCCCCACCACCACCCTTTTTTTTTTTACCAGCCTCATTTGGTCTGACACCTGATTTGGAAATTGTCTTTAAAGATGCCAGTTAAAGGGTCTTGCCCTAACTTAGAGCATCTCACTCTGGAGGGTCCAGATTTTCCCACTTTGGCCACTGGGGCTTTAAAGCATAGAACGTCAGTTTACCTGCTCACCTGGACATAGGCTAATAAGGAAAAATCTGTCCTCTCAAGGCAGTTTGGATTCCTATGATACCTAATGTCTCGAGACGGGGCTTTAGCCAGCTGTGGCCTCGTTAAGTGCCACTTCCCATCCGGTAATCCTTTCACGTTTTGTCTTGGAGTTGCTGCTGGGCTGTTTTCATCAGGCATTAGAGGGGCAGGCAGGGCGTGAGGAGGGCATTTGGGGTGATGCTCACCTCTGCCTCAGTGATCCTTGACACTGGCTCTGCATTAGAACCACTGGCAGAGTTTAAAACAATTCCCCAACTCAGGCTACACTTCAGACCCAATAATCAGGATCTGAGGGGGAGGGGCCCAGGCATTTGTATAGTTTAAAGACCCTCACATGACTCCAGCGCACAACCGAGACTAGGAAAATTGCTCAAAATTGGAGAACTAGTGGGGAGCAGGGCCAAGAGCTGTAGGGCAGCCAGAGGGTGGAGTAGGTACTTGGAGGGAAGGCTGGGGAGCGGATCTAGTCCTACCTGTCACTTCTATGTGACCTTCAGCAAGTCACTTCCCTATGCTGGGACTGTTCCTCACCAGTAAAGTGGTCAATAAGTGGTCTTACTTTTCCACTGATGTCCTTGCTCTTGAGAGTGTGGTCCCCAGACCAGCAGCTTCAGCGTCACCCAGGAGCCTGTGGGAAATGCAGAATCTCAGTGCCCACCCCGAATGTGCATCTGTGGTTTAATAAGACCCCCCCCAGGTGGTTTGGATGTGTGGTAAGGTTGCCAAAGCCCTGCTCTGGATGCCTGACTTG